TTATTCCTAAAGAAAGATGCTCCAATTTGATAAGTTGCAATGCAATCAATTGCATTTCTCCTCTCATCATGACAGATGCCAAACACTTTCTTTTATTATCACAAAGGAAAGGGATACCCATACAATCTACACATATACTGATGCTTAAAACCTAACCCTCCCACATAAAGGAGCAATTTGATACCAATGAACTACAAGCCCTTGTTGCCAAACACTTTTTCAATCCATGCCATATGGATTATTATTCCCTTCGTAACTTTTGGAGTTTCTTTTACACGTACGCATTTTTAGCCCTACATCAATTTTAATTTGACAAGAAAAATGTTATTTAGACAAACTTTTACAATTGATTTATATATAAGAAGGATTATATGAGAACAAGTTCTCTTGTAAAGAATGTGAACTCATTTTATCCATCCTATCTATCTGGATTAATCAACAGTTGAAAATTAAGAAAAAAAAAATGTCTTGACATTTTCGTAATTATTAAAATGTATCGGGAAACATTTGAGAGTAGTACATCGGGATAATTAATAATGCACAAACTAATGCACTATCAATTATCCACGAGTGCACTATCAATTATCCACGAGTGCACTATCAAGTGATTCTAAATGCATTGTAATAATTATAAAAATGTCACCATATGTTTCCTTTAATTTAATTTTTAGACCTTGATCATCCTATTTGAATAATGAACTGAGATTAATCTACACTTTTTACATAGGATTTTAGGATTTATTCTTAATTATTTGAACTATATATATATATATATATATATATATATATATATATATATATATATATATATATATATATATATATATTAGATCAAATGCAAAGCATTTTCCAGGTAAAAAATGCGCACAAATAATCATCTTTGGATTTAAGCCAATTTTTAATCTCAGTCATTGATTGGGAGGAGATAGGTGGGGAATTCTTGTAACTAAGTTCACCTAATTACCAAGTTTCCCTCTTTTAAACGGCAAGAAAGTTTTTTTAAAAAAAAAAAAGTTAGAAACTCAAACAAAGCACCATTAACGTCTCCTTACCCGACTTTCTCCATTTTCTCCGCTACACCGTGATGACCCGTCTTCACTCCACAAGCAACCTCTCTTGTAAGGGTTTTTAAAGATTTTGAACATCTCAACTTCTCTCAGGCAAGATGAAGAAGACGACTTTAGGCGTGAAGGAATCGTGTACGCAACTACAGAGCAGCAACATGAGAAAAAATGGATTTTGAGAAAAACGTCGCGCATTTTCCTTCAGGCGTGAAGCACATTTATTCGTCTTTGAAATGTGCATTCTAGTATACATTTTTGTGCCATCGGATGCACATTTTGGTACCTACAAGTGCACATTTTTGTGCCTACAAGTGCATATTATCTTGCTAATGAAACAAATCTTCATGGAATATATTTATTATGTTGTTTTGGACATAAAATGTAGTACAAGATGTTATAGAAGCTACTAATGTGTATTTTATAAAGAAGAATATCAATCTAAAAGAGAAAGCCTTCAAAAACCTAGTGTGCATGCCGACCTCTCAGCATGTGTCCTTTGGATTCCTTATAAATACCCCGCAACGCGACGATAGAGAGGGACCTTTGGCAACTTCTCTATAGCCATATTCATCTCGAGAACCTCCGACCTCAAGACTACACCCGAGCCTAGCACACTAAACCAACAAGCAAGCCATACATGGGTTGTAACCCGACCCAGTCTCACACCTTATACGTATTCTTAATAAACAAGGTACAATGTATTTTACCAGATCATTTGGCGCTGTTTGGGGACCAACACTAGTAGCTTTGAGCTCGCCCCGAGTCCTTGATCATGCATCAACCTAACTTCAACACGGAGCAGGATTCCGAGCAGGATGACTTAGACCTTTGCTCTCAATTATCGCTTCGGTAAGCTTCAACGCCGACATCGCAGTCTTGACTGACCTCTTCAGGTATGACTAGCCTCAACGCAGTTAAGACAGGCGTTATACATCCACTCGCCTTGAGCTTTGTGGGAAATCCTTATATGCGCGGCTTGGTCCCCAGATGGGTTCCGCCCGCTCGGATTGGGGGTGCCCGCCTCTAAATCCTTTCATGTTGGGTTCTTTCCCATATCACTTCGTGCCTCAACCGCTCATGTATACGGTCGTTTCGACCTTCACCGGCATGCCGTTAGCACCAACAACAGTGAGCGTCCCAGCCTAGCAATCTCTTGACCAACCAATAAGACAAATTAGCTGACTAGTTGAAACCCAGCCCGATCCTAGGGTTGGGCCCCGACGTTCCATTTGACATCGATTGGGTTCACGCCTCCAAGCTTGGGACAATAGTGAGCAATCACCAGAGAGCCCTCGAGGGCCTGTAGAGTACCGGACTAGAACAATTCGCCATCATCGTAGAAGATAGAGACTTCTCGGTCCGACTGCCTTTAATGTAATATTGTTTATTTCAAGTTGTTTGTATTTAGTGGGCTCTGAATGTAAATTTTGTTAAGAATCCTATCGAAATGTAATTAAATCAAATTAGATACCTCACTCTCCCCAAGTGCAAGAAGATCGAAAGACAATCCTGACCTAATTAGTACAAGTCGACTTGGATTAAATCTCGGCGTAAGTCCTACGCAATAGGCAGCATTAAACCGACCAGGCCCGGAACCTGACCTAGAATTTGGCTTGATAACAGACTCTAGACTAGGAAGAGAAGAGTCCTCGTTAACGATCATAAGATCAGAGAAAGATAACGGTCTCTAGACTAGGAGGAGACGCGTCCTCGTTAACAAACCATAAGGTCAGAAAAAAATAACAGTCCCCAGACCGAGCGGAGGAGTGTCTACATTAGCGACCATAAGGTCATAAAAAATAACGGTCCCTAGACCGGACGGAGGAGCGTCCGCATTAATGATCGAGAGATCCTAAAAATATTGGTCCGTAGACCAAGAGGGAAGCATCCTTGGCTAACGATCGCTAGATCGGAAAGATAGTGGTCCATAGACCGGAAGAACAAGCGTCCTCATTCACGATCGTAATATCAGAAGAGTAAACGGTCCTTAGACCAGAGGGACAAACGTCCTCGTTCACGATCGTAAGATCGGTAAAGCCAATGGTCCTTATACTATACCCCTTTACCCTGAACGGGTATAAGAGCAAAAGTCTTCCCAATCCGATTACTTGGCTCGAATTTTGGCTGGGAACCCTAAAGCGGGATTTCAAAGATAATCGATGTTAAAATGATCGAAAGATTGGAGCGATGTCCTGAGCAAAAGACCTAACTCGACGGACCCATAGAATGGGTAGACCCACATGATTGAACGATAATTCAAGTTTAACCCGACCCAAGGGAAGTAAGACAAAACTTGGTAACCCCGAGAACATGGCTACAAAAGTAGACCACCCACCTAAAAACAAAACAAATTGCACTTTTGGTCCTGTGACTATTAGGGTACTGATAATTTGATTACGTGACTTTTAAAACTCTCAATTTAAACCTTTAACTACGCAATTATTAGCAGATTTGGTCCTGCCAGCCAATTTAGGCCGGAAAAATGTAATTCTTTTAAAATTATTTATTTATAAGGTCAAAATTGTCCTTTAACGTCATTCTTCTTCTTCTTCTTACGTCTGCGGAAAAGCAGAGCAGAGCAGCCGCCGGACATGGCAACTCCACGGAGAAATGAAAAGACATCAGCTGCTTCATTCGATCTGGCGCATCAATTGCAGAACGAACGAAAGTGATTGAAAAGCGTAGTGGTCATAACATTTCAATGAATGATAGATAGATTTTATTCCGATCCGATCGATCCAGCTTATCTATCTTTTTCTGGGAATGGTTGACTATCTGCGCAGATGGTTCCCCGACCCCCATGGTGTCCCAACGGACTCCGTTTATCGTGCCTAAGTCTAGTTTGATGTTTCGGGTACCGTTCGTAGGATAAATGAGTCTTATATATATCGCATGCTAGTTGAATTGGTATCCCGTTGGCCTAGGTAAAGGAAGTATGAACCCCTTAGGATTATTCCTAGTATGTGGATGACCACGCATAGGTTTCATTATACGTCTTCTCCCCGTTCCCAATGTGTTAATGTGGGTTGCATGTGCTTGCTATGTGTTATGTGTGCGTGATACCCCAATTTGGTTGCGATCAAATTGGTTATTCCTGAGCTGCGGTTCAGAAGCTGGCTGCGGTCAGAATTACACTCTTGGGCTGCGGTCCACCGTTTGGTTGCGATCAAACGTTTTACATGAGCTGCGGTTCATATTCCTGGCTGCGGTCAGATGATTACTCTTGGGCTGCGGTCCACTGTTTGGTTGCGATCAAACATTATGATGAGCTGCGGTTCATCGGTCCGTTGCGATCGACCCCTTCGTATTGCGATACGAGGCAGGGTGCTGCTGGGCCGTGTCAGAGCTATATGCGCTGACCCTCATGTATGGGCATGCGATTGGTCCTGTGGCGCCACCAAAGTATGCTTGTGTGGTGAGATGAGAATTGAATGATGACGTGAATGAAATGAAGTGAATTTGTGACCATAGGATATATGCTAGTATCTTTATATGCTTGGTTATAACTGTTAAATGTGATTATCCCTGTCTGTCGAGTCTATTCCTGGTTTTAAAACTAGTGTCTCTTGAGTATATATCTTCCTGCCTCGAAATGATTTTCGTATATCTATATATATCTACCTATAATGTATTTCAAACGCGTTGGAGTGGGTTACCAGCATCTCTCGCTGAATAGATATATTTGGCTTTCAAGCACAGATGAGTAGACACTGGAGTGCGCTAGAGATTTGGAGCGTAGAGTAGATAGTTTCCCTTTCGACCTGCGTGCCATGCTTATGTATTGACATTATTGAGGATATTAGTTAGTTAGCCTGTGCACCTGAGTTCTCTAGCTCAGGTGTGTCATAGCACCCCGTACACTTATGTTATGTTTTGGGATTTAATGAGAATTTACCTTTATTATATAAGTCTCAAAAGTTTTAAAATTTCGGGGTGTTACACATATGCTAGGACTTTGTATTCCGCCTCAGTGGAATACCTAGCAACAGTTCTTTGCTTCTTACAAATCCAAGATATAAGATTAGTCCCCAAAAAAATAGCAAAACCACTAGTGGACTTACGATCTTCAGGATAACCAACCCAATCAGAATAAGAAAAAGCATGAATTTCCTTTGACATTGATTTCTGTATACGTAACCCAAACCCAATTATGCCCTTAACATACCTCAAGACACGTTTCAGCTGCTCCCAATATGATGTGGTAGGAACATGCATGTGCTGACAAAGCTGATTAACCGCAAAGGATAAATCAGGTGGTGTAACAGTGAGATATTGTAGTGTTCCAGCTAGGCTCTTGTACGACGTAGGATCATCATATAAGTCTGCACTGAAGGGAACAATTTTTGAAACAGATATAGGAATAGAGAGAGGTTTGCATTCCGCTATGCCAGCATGTTTCAAAATATCATTCATATATTGCTGTTGAGACAATAGAATTTCATCATCACATTTAACCGTTTCGATGCCAAGGAAAAAATTTGGTTCACCAAGATCTCTAATCTTGAAAGTGGCAGACAATTTTGAGAGTAAGTGAGTAACTAGAGCCTGATCACTTCCCATTAGAAGAATATCATCCACATAGACCAACAAATAAACCAATGCAAAATCTCGAGAGAAATAGAATAGAGAGACATCTGTCTTTGATGCTTGAAAACCAACGGATATTAAAAACGTGTGTAAACGATTAAACCAAGCTCTAGGAACTTGTTTTAATCCATACAGTGAATGTTTTACCACATCACATACAGTTTTGGACTTTGATTGGGCAGGGTGCCCTGATGACCACAAATTCACTAGTGGTTTTGCTTTTTTCATTTGCAAAAATTTAATCTCTTGGGCTTGTTGCATGCAAAAGGTAGTGGCTAGATCATCAACAAAAGCAAAATACAAAGTCATTGCAAATGTCTTAGCAAAAGTAACATGGTTAGTTGTTCTCATTATAGAACTTAGTCTAACTGTGCTAAAACAACCTCGACTATGGTGTGACAATTTTGGTGCTACTTATTTGTGTGCAACTCTCGTGTTTCATGCTCGAACTAAACATGTAGAAATAGAATACCATTTTGTTTGTGAAAAATTAGCATCGAAGGAACTGCAAGTGAATTACATCTCTACTAAAGATCAACTTGCAGACGTATTCACCAAGCCACTCACCACGTACAACTAAATTCGATCTTCTAAAGGGCAAGATCAATGTTCTCTCTAGAGACCCTTAAACTTGAGGGGGCATATTAGGTGTTAGGACTCTGTATTATATCAACCTTAGCATTCCTTCACTCTCTCATGTATTATTGTAAATCTATATCTTACCATTCTTGACCTAGCAAGGACTAATCCTTGTACTCTTATAAATACCTCTCTTCATATACTTTGTAAATACGATTGATTAATACAAAAATTCTTTGTATATTATTGTTCTCATCAATCTAATTACATGATTAGGCCAAAACCTAATATCTAGCTCCATCCCCATCTCGTTTGATGTCCTCATTCAACCTAACATACTCACTCAAGTCAATCTGGTACGTTTAACATGAATAAAAACTTGTATCAACGCTTCTACTATTGCATCATATATATCAAATAAAAATAAAAGAATTTTCTCATGACCAACTAATATAGATGAACAATGCAAGTAGATAATCAATTAAATTAAAACACCAATAACTATAATTGATGAATATATACCTAATAGATGGAGCATTGAGTTGAGTTGACTTAAAACTCACTCTTAATTAATCAAACAAAGTTATAAATTTAGATAGGTGGTTGTTGGGACGACGAGCCCAATTGCCAGAACTGGGTGGCTGGCTGGCTGGCATAGTGCTCACAAGTTGAGGCAATGATTATCATTATTGGATCATTAAACAAACCTCGTGGGAATCCTCCCCCAACTTTTCCTTTATTTCTTTTCTTTATTTTAATTAATTTTGTAGTAGTCAGGCATGGAGGGAGGGGTTGGGGGAAAAAGTAAAGGCCAAGGAAAGAGGGGAGCTCAGTACTTGTGATCCCCCCCTCCCCCCTCCCCCATCCACCCCACCCGCCTTGCCATTTTCAAAGAGGGCACTCAAAATATGAACATTACAGATGGTAAAGAAAGAGAGAGGCCGGGCACACAAAAGAAAAGTTGTTATAATAAAGGAGTGGAAGTTGTCCCCATAAATTTGAATAATTTCTTTTGGACATGAACAGTTACTACTTTAATTTTAAATAATTGTAATTCATAAATGCACTTCGTATCAATGATATCTTTTTTTTTTCTTTTTTTTTTCTTTTTATACTTAGGTGAATGATATCTTAATTTGATAGTAAACACTGAAAATTTGAGGTTTTTAATCTATAAATTATATAAGAATTAATAATAATAAGGTTTTAATAGGAATAAAGAATTTTAATCTAAAACTTATGATAAGGTTCTAATAGGAATAAAAAAAAAAAAATTATTGATGTAATCAACTGAATTAATAGTACATTATATTTACTTTTTTATGAGCTTCCAATTTCTTTTACATTTTACCTTCTATTTTCTATTCTATTTTCTTTTCCATCCAAGTTGTTAACATTGTTATATATTTTTTTTGAAAGGTGTTAATATTGTTATATGAAATAACTCGTTTTCATGTATATTTACAAATTTTGTCTAATTTTATATTATTTCTTTTTTTCTTTGTTTCTCACGCACTGATTATTTGTATAATCGATATAGTATTTGACTACTAAATTCATTAAAAGCAATACATATTTGTATAACTATTGGTGCGGCCGCACTGACCGCTCGTTAAGGTGCGGCTGCCCCTGAACTCTGCTATATATATATATATATATATATATATATATATATATAGGTGCGGCCGCACTGACCGCTCGTTAAGGTGCGGCTGCACCTGAACTCTGCTATATATATATATATATATATATATATATATATATATATATATATATATATATATAGCAGAGTTCAGGTGCAGCCGCACCTTAACGAGCGGTCAGTGCGGCCGCACCAATAGTTATACAAATATGCACCAACAATGTTAGGAAATGCACACAAAAAAATGCACCATTAGATACGCATCACCAAAAATGCATCATTGGGTATTCATAAAAGCACCACACAATGTTCAAAAATGCACAATTAGGAGTGAGAAGGTATGCAGCATTTTATGGGTGTGTTGTGCGTTTTTTGGTGTACTTGTGCATTTCATTATTGTGCATTTTCCTAACACTATTGGTGCCTTTTGTTAACACTAATAACGCCTTTTTCAAGCGGCCGCACCGACCGCACGGGAAGGCGCGACCGCATTTGTGTAGAAGTATACCTTTTGTTAACACTAATGGATAAGGTGAAAAAATTTTCCCTGGTGAAAGGTGCGGATTAATCACAACCTTTGATCTTGCCAAAATCAATAGCCCAGAATGAAGTACAATTAAAAAAATGCGGTGGCATTATGGTCATTTTGCGTAAGATCACAACTTAAGGTGCGTAAGTTTAAAGCTTAAGGTGCGTAAGTTCAAAACTTAAGGTGCTTAAGTTTATAGCTTAAGGTGCGTAAGTTTATAGCATTAGGTGTGTAAGATCACAACTTACGGTGCGTAAGGCTAAATCTTAAGGTGCATAATTTTATAACGTAAGGTGTGTAAGTTTATAGCTTAAGGTGCGTATGTTTAAAGCTTAAGGTGCGTACGTTTATAACATAAGGTGCATAAGTTTATAGCTTAAGGTACATATGTGAAAAGCTTAAGGTGCATAAGTTTATAACTTAAGGTGCATAAGTTTATAGCTTAAAGGTGCGTATGATTAAAGCTTAAGGTGTGTAAGTTTATAGCTTAAGGTGCGTAATTTATAGCTTAAGGTGCGTATGTTTAAAGCTTAATGTGCTTCAATTTCTAGTTTAAGGTGCATCAATTTAACTCTTAAGGTGTTTATGTTTAATGCTTAAGGTGCATAAGTTTATAACTTAAGTGTGTAATTTTATAGCTTAAGGTGCGTCAATTCGAAAAACTTGATCATTTACATCCATGTTGCCTTGAAGCGTTTATTTATTTATAATTTTCCTTCAGTTTGAGCCGTTGATCTAGATTAGATCAACGACTCAGATCTCACCTAATTTTTCACCTGGGAGAAGTTTCACACATGAACCATCCCCTATATGGTCTAGGATCATGTGTGAATGACTTCCAGGTAAAAAATGCGCACAAATCTCAGCCATTGAATTCATCCAAATCTAATGGTTTTTAAAAAAAATTCCTTTCGAACTAATAAAAATTGTGCACTTGAAAGCTCAAAACCATACACTTGAAGATACAAAAATGTGCACTTAAAGGTAAATAGTTGTGCAATTGATGAAATTTATAGTACCAAAAAGGAAAATTATTCAATTTAAGTGTTATTAAAGCAACTAGTATTTGCCCCCGTGCGATGCACGAAATGGATTTGTTGTAATATATTAAAAATATTTGAATTGATATATAATTATTTAAATTAAAACACCAAATATTATATAGTGCAATTGAATAATTGAGTTGGATCGATTATGTTTTCTGATGTTATCAATGCTTGAATTCGAAAAATAATTATTCAATTAATAGCCATGGATATTTGCGCCCGTGCGATGCACGGAATGGATTTGTTATAATATATTAAGAATATTTGGACCGATATATAATTATTTAAATTAGAACATCAAATATTATATAGTGCAATTGAAGGTATGACTTGGATCGTTTATGTGTTTTTATGTTATTAATGCTTGAATTTGAGCAAATAATTGCTTAAATTAATACCTAATGTGTAGATGTACGCATGCGGTGTTGTAACTTTGGAGATTTTATTTATCATTGTTCAATATTTTTATAAATTAGGCAAATGTGTCTGTTCTCTAGCAACTCAATTATAAGAATGAATTGATATCCTAATTCATTTGTATGGAAAATATATTTTTTATCTAGATATATAGCAATTTTTCCATTAAAAAAAACATAATATCACCGGTTATATTTACACATTATTGGAATCTCTTTGTAGACGACATTTGTAGTGGCAACACAATCTTGTCCATCCTCGTCTAGAGCTAACACCTTCAGTCCATCCGGACGGGTGACTCGGGTGAAAATATATAATGGTAGAATATCAAACAATTAGTGATCGTATTATATTTTCAATCAATTAGTAATATCAGATTCATTTTAAGCCAATTATTCTTTTTTTTTTCAGTCAATTAGAATATATTGAAGTATGACTTTCTAACATACAACATACAACATAAATATTAATATTAATTGATATTAATTTAATATCATTAAAATACATTTTTGTTTGAAAATGTAAAAATGCAATATGTACCTTGGAGTCATGAAACCAGTGCTTTGGTGATTGACGACTATGTGTTAATATTCTTTGGACAAATAACAACGCATCAACCAGAGCCTTATAGAACTTTTCATTGTCCTGAGAGATAGATCAAAGGTAGTGACAAAATTTGACTCCATTAGTAAACAATAAAGAGAAAGTTGAGAAATAACAGAAAAATTAAAAGTATACAATGGTAGAAAATCAGTAAGTTCGTGATCATTTTATATTTTATTCTCAGTCAAATATTTGTTTTAATACATATGAATTAGTTTATACTATATTTCCAGTCAATTATTAATAACAGATACATTTTCCAATTTACTTATACTATTGTTCATCCGTTTCATTTTCGAAATAGTTAATGGTGGATCATTTTTAATTTTTAGTCAATTATTAATATTTATTTCTTTTTCAATTGTCATATAATTAACATAGTCATTGAATAACGTAGTAAAAATACTTTAAAATTAAAAAATAATAATAATAATAATAATTTCAGCGACGAGGACAGCCGGGGGACATATAATTATTCAATTGAGTTGGGTCTCTCATACCTTCAATTGCACTATATAATATTTGATGTTCTAAT